TTATTTTAAATTTGAAACTATTTGACTATTTATTTTAAATTTGAAACTATTTGACTATTTATTTTAAATTTGAAACTATTTGACTATTTATTTTAAATTTGAAACTATTTGACTATTTATTTTAAATTTGAAACTATTTGACTATTTATTTTAAATTTGAAACTATTTGACTATTTATTTTAAATTTGAAACTATTTGACTATTTATTTTAAATTTGAAACTATTTGACTATTTATTTTAAATTTGAAACTATTTGACTATTTATTTTAAATTTGAAACTATTTGACTATTTATTTTAAATTTGAAACTATTTGACTATTTATTTTAAATTTGAAACTATTTGACTATTTATTTTAAATTTGAAACTATTTGACTATTTATTTTAAATTTGAAACTATTTGACTATTTATTTTAAATTTGAAACTATTTGACTATTTATTTTAAATTTGAAACTATCAGACTATTTATTTTAAATTTCAAACTATCAGACTATTTATTTTAAATTTGAAACTATTTGACTATTTATTTTAAATTTGAAACTATTTGACTATTTATTTTAAATTTGAAACTATTTGACTATTTATTTTAAATTTGAAACTATTTGACTATTTATTTTAAATTTGAAACTATTTGACTATTTATTTTAAATTTGAAACTATTTGACTATTTATTTTAAATTTGAAACTATTTGACTATTTATTTTAAATTTGAAACTATTTGACTATTTATTTTAAATTTGAAACTATTTGACTATTTATTTTAAATTTGAAACTATTTGACTATTTATTTTAAATTTGAAACTATTTGACTATCTATTTTAAATTTGAAACTATTTGACTATTTATTTTAAATTTGAAACTATTTGACTATTTATTTTAAATTTGAAACTATTTGACTATTTATTTTAAATTTAAAACTATTTGACTATTTATTTTAAATTTGAAACTATTTGACTATTTATTTAAATTTGATACTATTTGATTACCCATGTAGAAATTAATATCGGTACAATATATTACCAATATTGGTTTTCTGTGGCCGTGATTGCCTATATAGTGATGATGTCAACTAATCGATCAGGCCAACGTCAGCCGATATTGAGGCAATAATCTCTATAAATGGCCTTGTCCAATATTGGTCTCAAACTAAAATAGAAATATTGATGCAATTTTTTTATCATCGGCTAATAAATATTGTCCTCAAATAGAAGAATAAATATTGATGCAATATTTTTTTATCATCGACTGATAAATATTGTCCTCAAACTAAAATAGAAATATTGATGCAATATTTTTTTATCATGTGCTGATAAACATTGTCCTCAAACTAAAATAGAAATATTGATGCAATATTTTTTTATCATGTGCTGATAAATATTGTCCTCAAACTAAAATATAAATATTGATGCAATATGTTTTATCATCGGTTGATAAATATTGTCCTCAAACTAAAATATAAATATTGATGCAATATTTTTTAACATCGGCTAATACATATTGTCCTTCTCTAGAAAAATAAATTAAATGCAATTTTTTTTATCATCGGCTAATAAATATTGTCCTCAAATTTAAAATATTGGTGCAACAATTTTTATAATTGACTATTAAATATTGTTTTTATTATTATTTAATTAACTTTTCGAAAGAGAAGTTTGTTTCATGAAAAAATCCGATTTGCTAATATATTTTGTCGAAATGAATGAGATCAAACATCTATATATTCACATATCCTATACTACAATCTGAACGGTAAAGGATACTTAAAATGTTTATTCGGGCGAAAAATGCAGAATAAAATTACGAATAAAATGATATATAATTCGACATATGTATTCATATAATTTTCTTATATTCCATATTTGCCAACATTGGATTTCTGTGGCGCAACGTCGGTTCTTTGGTGCAATTGTTGGTCTCGCACGGACTAGTCTATATCTAACTGAGATGGACAGATCAATATTGACAAAATATAGTTTATGAGTGGCCTTTTCCTATATCGTCCTCCAATTAAAATATAAATATTGACGCAATATTTTTTATCATCGGCTAATAAATATTGTTCTCGAATGGAATGGGCAATAGAATATCGTATTTGTCAGAGCATAACCTACAAACTTGACATTTTAGAAATCTTGACCTGTTATTTACTTTGACATAGTCGACAGTTTATTTTTGCACTGAGTGTTGATTGTTTTACAAGTGCTTAAAGTACAATTTTATAAATATGCCATACAAGAGATCAACCAAGTCAATGTATATTAAGAAGCGAGCAACAGAAATTGCCCGATTGCTCACAATTCAAAACGTCGAAGAGACTAAGAAATTTTTGTGACAATAGTGATAGTAATTGTGACATAGTGATAGTAATTGTAATAGTGATAGTAATTGTGATATTAGTGGTAGTGTTAACTCCGAGTCGGATTCTGATAGCAGTACATCTTTCTCTGAAGATACTTCGTTTGCAAGCACCACAAATGATATGAGTAATATTATTAACAACTTGGAAGATTCTGAAAATACAGACATTGTTTCCGACCTACGCTCTTGGGCTAAACAGCAGAATGTGAGTCATAAGCATTTGAATACTTTGCTTCCAATTCTGAGAAAGCATGGCCATCAGAATGTGCCCCTATGTGCAAAAACAATTTTGAAAACACCCTCAGTGGTTGCAACTACAACTATGGCCAGTAAGCGTGGCAATGTGGGTGAATGCGTCCATTTTAACTTAAAGGACAATACTAATAAAAAATTTAATATGTTTAAAAATCAATATAGTGATAACTTAATACATCTTTTAATTAATATTGATGGGGTACCAGTTTTCAAAAGTAAATCATCAGTTCTGGCCTATTTTGGGAGCTCTGTATACAAAAACATCACGTTCCATTAAGCCGTTTGTGATTGGATTGTACTATGGAGATAGTAAACCTGACTGTGTAAGTACTTATTTAGAAAGATTTATAAATGAAGCTAATGATCTTTATAATTCTGGTTTCATTCATGAGATTATTTTGTATAAAGTCAAGATACACAAGATTTGCTGTGATGCTCCTGCCCGGGCTTATATAAAGTGTATCAAGGGCCATAATGGATACAACAGTTGCGAAAGGTGCACACAGAAAGGAGTGAGGGTAGATGGTAAAATAATTTTTCCATTAATGGATGCGAGTCTACGACATCATGAAGATTACATGTCAATGCTAGAAAAAGAAGATAATCATCAACTTGATAGGTCTCCATTATTGAACCTTGCTGGAATAAATTTTGTGGAAGATTTTCCTTTGGACTATATGCATATGGCTTGCCTTGGTGTGATGCATAAGTTAATATATGTTTGGATAAGAGACAGAAACAGTAATTGTACCATTAGCCAAATACATATAAATTCTATGTCTTCAATGCTCAATAATCTGAGATCAATGACACCATGCGAGTTTCAGCAAAAACCTAGAGGTTTTCAAGAACTTGATAGATGGAAGGCAACAGAGTTTTGTTTTTTTTATGTTATATGCAGGTCCGGTCATCCTGAAACAATTTTTGCCAAATCGGGTTTATAAAAATTTCATGTACTTTCATTATGCTATGCGAATAATTTGCAGTGATGAGTATATTGTCAAATATGGACATAAGGCAAAAGAATTCATTCGCAAATTTTGTAAGGGAATAAAAAAAATTTATGGAGAGAATATGTTAGTATATAATATGCACAGCATTTTCTATATGACAGATGATGCAGTAAGAGAGCAACGCAGTGTTGATCATTACAGCTGTTTTGTTTTTGAAAGCTATTTGGGTCAAATTTTAAAGTTAGTTAGGGGTCCAGCAAAACCTTTGCAGCAAGTTGCATGTAGACTCATTGAGAACAGTGGCGAAATTCATACACCCCACGAAAAGTTTTTCGTTTTTGAAAAAAATTCAGTAATAAAATTTATTAAAATAAATGGAATGAAAATAAATCCTCAAAGTGCAAATGATTGTTACATAATGATTAAACAGAACAGAATAATGAAAGTGCATAGTATTTATAAAAATGATTCAAATTATTATTTTAACTCTCCGTCGGTCGGATATTTTTTCACCTTCGAACGGTCGGAAAGGTCTGGCTGGACCACCATTTATTTTACATGCATTTATATGGGATAAATGAGTTTTTGGTGTCTTATGTATTAACGATTTATAAAAAAATCAAGAAATATAAAAAAAACGTTGCTTTTTTTGTTATTTTTCTGTTTTAAATCAATGAAAAACAGTATTTATTCTTTTTGGCGCCTGAATGAATGTGTGCATTACTCATCCGATTTTCAGTGTTTGCGATTACCAATAAGTTTGGTAGGTTTTCAAGAAACTCTCGTCATGAAAATACTAACATTCATGTTAGAACACATAGCAAAGAATATAAACAAAGCAGTTTGAATAAAAAATACCATGAAAAAGCGTATATTTCATACAAAATGTATGGGTGGTCTAGAGAGACCTTTCCGACCGTTCGAAGTATAAAAAAAATTAAATCCCTATAATTATCCTTCTGTACATTTTTTCGTCCTGATTTTTTCATTGACCGACAGCTAATGAAATTTTAGAAAAAGTCAAGAAATTTCAAGTCGATAGGATTACTAGAAGTATTTTTTTTTCTAATTGAAAACGAAAAAAGTCTGGCCAGACCAGACCACGCCGACCGACGGAGGGTTAAAGGAAATATTTACAATACAAGTTCAAATTTTTATAATAGTAAACATTCAATAGATTTGCATTTTTTTCATATATCTGACTTATCAACATTTGTTTTTCATGTAAATATCAGTGATATGATAAGCAAATGTCTTATCATAAAAATGGACAACTTGCATGTAGCTATTAAATTATTGTAGATAATAAAAATGGAAAAATATATTATAGAATAATCAAAACACTTCTGTTTGCTTGTAATTGAATTGTATTTATTAATAAATCACCTGATTGATTAATTATTCAAAATACATTATATAATAATGAACTCTTGTTTGCTTGTTATTGATCTTCAGTTAATAAATCAGGATCCATTGAAATGATTATATCCTCATTCTGAATTAGCTGAATATAATCTAATTCAGTGGGATATTTTATATTTCCTGCAATATGAATTATTTATATTTTAAAATTTGTACATAATGGTATAATATCATAGTCTGTAGTATCTTCAATATAATTTTTTTAGCTGTAACATACTTTGCTTCTTCCCTCCGTTCCAGTCTCCAGACTGTGCTAAAACGACACTTATGCGTTTCATAATATCAAGTTGTGTCCCTTTCGGAAAATTAACTCTTATGGCCTCTGCAAATGATTTTTAATAAACTTGAATATACATCAGAAATTGTTATTAAATTATACCTCAACATATTGCACTTGATATTATATAATAAACTATTAACACATACATGTATTAATACATTATTAAACATTAAATATGTGTGTCTGTGTGTGAATGAATAAAGCTATAATATTTGATGATACATACTGACAACAACATCACATAATTTTAAAGCCGAGAAGTTTAACTTGTTTTTCCGTCCTCTGGCTGAATATTGCACCGCCAGAGTTCTTGAAAAAACTTTTTTCATCACAGCTGTTATTGTTCCATTTAATGTAGTCTGGCCAACCATAGCCAAATGAACTACCTATTATGAAGAAGTTAAATATATATATATATATATATATATATATATATATATATACTATTATTCTTACCAAATCAGAAGCAAAACCCTCCTCTGTTAAGTTTGTTTCCATTTTTATTATATCATCTGTACTTTCCAAAGGAAACACAAATGTTCTAACATTAGGCAGGACAATATGATTTTTTGCTTCTCTGTGAGAAGCTGTAAATACCAAAATTTCTGCCTGATTCTTCTTGATTTCTTGCAGATCAAGCACTAAATTTTCGAACCTCATAGATATGTTGCCTAGATGCTCCAATGACTTCTCAGCCTTATCTTTGTTGGAAACTTTCTCGATTTCTTCTCAACAATAAAAAAAAAGTTACAAATTATACAGTAAATGATGAGCATCACGCTAAAGAATTGAAAATACATTTTGTCCGAAAAATCAAATTATAATTTCAATATCAATCTGTACTTATTACCTGTGGCATGGGTTGGAGGTATATCTGATTCTATGGCTGAATTAATTTCAGCCTTCTTTACATACTTCTTCGCTTTTTTTAATGAAGAAGTAGTCCTCAGACATTTTGCCTCTAGCTCATCAGAGCATGATAAACTGTTGCCCAGCACACAGTTATTTATCATCTTCTCTAATTTGCTATACTTAACATTCTTCGGCCAAAGATACTTTGTTTTATTATCATCTATAGCCCAAGACGATGGCACATGGTAACAAGTATTATCTACTGAAAATACTACAATTTTCAAACTTACTCCATTTCAAATATATATATAATAAACAAAAAGAATATAAAAAACACAATATATAAAATTTATATATTGAATTATAATATTTATATATATTTATATAAAAAATCAACAAAAGTTAAAACTATATGTTAACACTACTTATTTCTACAACATTTCCTACAAATTTGAACACATGTGTTTTGAATTGCAGCATAGTGCACTAGCCGGCACGCATCTACAGAACAACGGCATAACTTTGAAGGTGCGTTCGATTTTGCGTTGGCGTTTTCATAATCGATAAAATAAGAATATTGATTTTTGACTATATTTTTGAATTATAATTATTTTCTCTGCTTATTAATTTATTATAATTTAACATATTATGTTTATTAATCTATGATATATAATATCTAATGAATTCACGTAATAATATAACGTACTCCACAAGCTATGTCAAATATTACATTTGCGCGCAATTGTACAGCCACATGTGGTCAAATTGTGTTTTGTGTGTATTTACATAGGAATAACCTCAAATTTTGTTATTATATATTATTATATTTCGTATTATATATATTATATATATATAAAATTTATATATTGTGTTTTTTATATTTGTATATTCATATTTGAAATGGAGGTAAGTTTGAAAATATATAAATACAGCATTGAAATATTTTATATTTTCAATGTATATTAAATTTCTACGTTATTGTCTGTAGGACAAAAATATGCCAAGGAGGCTGAAACAAATTCAGCCTTAGAATCAAATCCAGGTTCATCAACCAATGCTACAGGTAATAAGTATAGATTGATATTGAAATTATAATTTGAATGTTTGAATTCTATAAAAATATGCTTTTTTACGCGTAGATGTTTTGACCTTTTATAAATGTTTCTTTATTAATTTAGACAAAACCAAATTTATAGCTTCGCAAGAATCTATAATTAAATTATCTATTGCATTTGGGAAATTATGCTATGAAATTAAAAAGATTAAGGAAGAGCAACAGGAAATGTTGCTCTATGTGAGAGCACAAAACCAAGATTATTCAGCAACTTCTAATAATCGCATTACCATTTCTTTTGAACTGCCCATGGCAAGCCTTACAGATGTACAAAACATGGAGATGAAATTAAATAATGATGATGTTGCTGTGGAATTGGTAACAAGTTTGAATTTTGTAAATAGCATATGTATATACTAAAAGTGAGCATATATATAATTTGTACTAGATCGGCCAATTATCTTTACTTGGTGGGCATAATATGAGAGGAGCAGTCGTTACTATTATGAAAAAGATATTTAGCAGGGCTGTAGCTGTGCAATATTCTTCAAAAGGCCGAAAAAACAAGCTGGATTTTTCGGCACTGAAATTATGCAGTGTTGTTATTCGTATGTCTGCTAAAATATTTCTCAATAACTTCCATCAGAAATTTATTTCTGAAATTCATTCGCAGAGGCTGTCAGAATTAAGTGCCCTGAAGTAGTGTAAAGTGCAAAGTGTTATATAATAATTTTTCAGGCTTTTCTTTGTTTGATACTTTCTCAATTTTTTAACAATAAATAAAGTTACAAATTATTTATACTTAAAGTGAGCATTGCACTTGAAGTGCAAAGTGTTAAATAATAATTTTTCAGGCTTTTTTTTTGATACTTTCTCCATTTCTTCAACAATAAATAAAGTTACAAATTATAATTTGTACCATGACATATATTTCATTCATAAAAAATGTGTTTTGTATGATAAAGTTTTGATTATTAAAATTAAATTGGAGATTATGCTACCTAAGAACATTAAAAAATTAAAATATTCAGCTGACACTTTAAAAGCTTGGAATATAAAAAGTCTTAATGATTGCTTTATAAAGATAAGATTCAACTGATGAGATATTGGTATCTGAAAATTCTCTACGGAATATATATACTATACAAAGTATAGAATACAATATATGTCTCATTTTAAATAATTTGCATTACTTTGCAATTCTTTATTTATTATATATTGTCTAGATTTTAACCTCAATTTGCATTCTAAAACAATAGTTTGTATTGTAACCTAATACCGACACGTCGTTGAAATGGCGCCGAATCTATGAACAAGCCGTGTTTGTTTGTAAACTATCGTGTTATATTTGCAGAAATAATCGTTATCGTTATCGTGCGGCCATAAAAAAACTTTTTGGTTAAATAGAAAGGAGTGCAAGAAATCGTAAATATAAACCTTTTGATCATGGCTGCGGCTAACAAGAATAGTGATTTGTACAACAACAAGCCTACCTATCAATTTCTCATAACATTTTGTAATAATAATAATAGTATTTTCATATCAACGTAAATGTGAAAGCACATCTACTTTCCAAAATTCATTTAGAGTGATACTTTATTTGTTCCAATAGAAGGTTTTTTCCATAAAAATACATAGCGATAGAATTAATTGTTTTGTAATATATTAAAAGCAAATATAATATTTTGTTTAAATGTTACACCGTCATAAAATAACATGCAACTAAATTATTATTTTATCATTATTTTAACTTATTCTGTAAAAAAATAATTTTGTTACATTTTGTATTATATGTAATTTTATGTTAAGCGCATTATTAATTTTACTATACATTGTAATTTTGTATATATGTTATTCGTTATCCATATTGTAAAATAAATTTAATAGTCTTAAAAGTCCTCATGGAAGAAATCTGTGGGCTATGTATTTAAAAAAAAATTAAATAAAAGTATTTAAAGTAAAAATGCATTTTTTTATATAAAAATAATCTAGCCAATGTATATAAAAAATGCATTGGTTATAAATAGCCAAAATAATTCATGACCAATGTTAATGAGGCCACAACAAACCAATATTTATCAATATTGGTAGGCGATATTGGTTCCAAATTGCCAGACTCATCTGGCCAGGATTAATTAATTAGGTGGTCTGGTCAATATAGATCAATATTGGTTTAACTATATGGCCTCAATATAAAAAATGTTCAATTTTTATGACCAGCCGATATTGGTTTCAAATTTGACCAATGTAGATTATATATTGCTCGTAGATTCAGACCATATTAATTTCTACATGGGTATTTATTTTAAATTTGAAACTCTTTGACTATTTATTTTAAATTTGAAACTATTTGACTATTTATTTTAAATTTGAAACTATTTGACTATTTATTTTAAATTTGAAACTATTTATTTTAAATTTGAAACTATTTGACTCTTTATTTTAAATTTGAAACTATTTGACTATTTATTTTAAATTTGAAACTATTTGACTATTTATTTTAAATTTGAAACTATTTGACTATTTATTTTAAATTTGAAACTATCATACTATTTATTTTAAATTTGAAACTATCAGACTATTTATTTTAAATTTGAAACTATTTGACTATTTATTTTAAATTTGAAACTATTTGACTATTTATTTTAAATTTGAAACTATTTGACTATTTATTTTAAATTTGAAACAATTTGACTATTTATTTTAAATTTGAAACCATTTGACTATTTATTTTAAATTTGAAACTATTTGACGATTTTATTTAAACGATTTTTAATTTATTTAAACGATTTTTATTTTATTTAAACGATTTTTATTTTATTTAAACAATTTTTATTTTATTTACTTGCACACTCTGCAGTAGCACATCTTCGCATATATCTATGGTTCATGTCGCAAAAAGCTGCCAAAAAATTCATTCTTTCCTTTGGGACTTGCCGAGCGAGAACATTACATCATTACATTATTACATCGGAGATTGGGATTGAAATCATTCCTCGTGTCTTCATGTTTCGGGCGAGTATATTTTCCAAGTTATATTACTATAAAATCAGCGTTCAATAAAAAATGCCATTGCTTTATGCTTACGCAATCTTATTTTTAGATCAGGAGAATTGACAAAGGGGTCCGTGGAGACTCCATTTGAATACAATCACTACATTTTCAAGAATTTTAAAGCAAAGATATTATGTAATCAAAATGCTTTTTATAGTTTAACTAACCATGTGCTTGATTTTTTTTGGGTAATGTTACACAACTCGATCCATCACTCATCTTGTGCCCTAGCTGTATCTTGTCCGATAATTTTAAATATAATATGAAACTATTTAGTCGACTTAGCTGACATTAAGAACCTAGACGACTTTGTGAATCATAATTTAGTGTTTTTTGAAATTTAATTTTCAACTAACCATGTGCTCGATTTATGTCGAGTAATGTTACTCAAGTCAATCCATCTGATTGATTTCAAATATCATATGGAACTATTTAGTTGTCTAATCTAAGCTTTACAATTTGAAATCTGGAAGACTTTATGAAACATAATTTAGAAAGTGAGCATTTTGTAAAGTTGTTACTTTTTATTAGACTTGGTTGCTTTATCATTACTCTCAAATAGTTTAGTTATCATTGAACAGTACAATTTGTTTAAAGTTTTATCAGAAGTTTTAATATTTCACGGCTTAGGTTGTACCTGTGTAAGATTTCTCACTCGTGCTTATTTCATACGAAGCATTTTGATTTTTTTTATTAAGTATAAAGAAATAATGATTGATACAATTGTCATTTGATAATTTTGTATGTGCATTAATTTTTTGGGATGATTTTATTTAAAATTGATAATGAATTCTATTTATCTTTATCTTTATCGTAGTAGGTATAGATGGTAAGACTTATTGAACAAGAAGCCTTAATATTTATTGGATTATTATTTATTCGAGATAAAGTTTTTTTTAGATTATTTTAGCCACGCTTACATGGAGATTTAGCCATCCACAACATTCCATTTTTTATTCTAATTATTTTTAAATTTTAATTTCTTATTGAAAGACAATTATTTTTATTCTTCAATATTAAGGAATAAATTTTATTTCATTATGATTTTCACTTTGATAAATCAGAAAACCTTATTTGTAGAAAGGTGGAGTCTGTTAATCATACAGTCTGTTTTAAAGTTTTAAATTTTATCATGGAAGATTGTATCCGAAGTACAAAAATATTACTATTTCTTATATTGAGCATCGGCATCATTTTAATAATGCATTTATAATGATGTTCATTCCAATTTAATACTTCTTTCTATAATTTACAGGTTCAGGCCAATGTTTTTATTCGTATTGGAAAGCAAAATGAAGCTGCTTTGGAAATAATTTTGCAATTGAAATCAGTCGGACCCTGACAAATCTAGTGTTCATTAGTTGAAGTTAATAATCTGAGAAAACTCATTCATTAACACAATAACTAGGTTTGAGTGTCATATTGCTTTAAGGTATGTTGATTAGATTTGCATAACAATCGACCTAATTTTTTTTTGTCTGCTTTCAGACAGTTTACATTGTTTTTATATTTCTTCAAATGCTTTCATCTGACATCATCACTGTCATTTTAAGACTATAGAAGTGATTTTGATTAGTGGCCATCAAATGAAAAAGCGACATGTCTCATTAAATATCGAGCATTTAGTAAATATTCCAAAGATGTGTGAAGCATTCTGAGGCTGTCTGAAAAATATACTGAAGATTCTTAAAAGTAAGTTAAAATACAATAAGTTTTATTGATTGAATTTTGTTAATAAGTACATTTATCATTGATTTGCAATTACATTGATGTCCTTTTAACACTCAGCAGATTTGAATTTGCCATCGACGTCATCGCACTTTGGATGAATGCGGCGCTTTAAATATTTTACTTGATTTATATAAAAAATTAAGAAACCCTAGATAATCAAAGAAAATGTTAAAAAAAATTAATCATTGAATTAAATATCAAATTTAATAAGACTTTGCATTTCATGATTCGAATGATTGCTTGCATGGTAGCTTTCGTATGGATTAATATATTACAGTGCATGCGTAGTTCTAGTTTTAATAACACTAACAATACTAACAAATAACCATCTATTCTATTTTTAATCAATAATCATGTAATCATTTGAATCATTTAAAATAATGCAATGTGTAATTATCATTCACTACACTTTTTATCACTGCTTTCAATTCATAAATTCGTTTTCTGTACATCCAAGTGCAAATTGTAAACCGTTGTGACATTATTACATTTTATTTCTGAGTATTCGAACTAAGTCACATCAACACATAATGTACAAATTGAAGAAAACTGTAGGTAGTGGAATTATCAAGTAATGTATGAAAACTAGGTATATATTTGATTTATTTTATCAATTAATGATACATTATCAATTATGTATTCATCCATGTAACATAACTAATGTTCTTTTTTTTTCAGATCCTTCTAATTCAACTGTCACTAATCTGAAGAAGTTCCACACTGATAACCTTCTCTAAAAGATGTATTCTAACCTTGTTTTTTTATTGCAGGTTCAATTCTCCACTACTGAATCAACTGCCACCATCGACTCAACCGACTTTATCGACTCTAGTCAATCAAACGTAAATAAGCTCATATCAAGTATTTATCAGGCTGTATGTATCCTTTCTCAAACATTTTAAAAGATGTATTCTAACCTTTTGTTTTTTTATTGCAGGTTCAATTCTCCACTACTGAATCAACTGCCACCATCGACTCAACCGACTTTATCAACTCTGGTCAATCCAACAGTAAACTCATACCTTAACTTAGGTCTTTGGTCTTGGTCTTAACTTGTTGCCCTGGTCTTGGTCTTGGTCTTGGTATTGGTATTAGTCTTGGTCTTGGTCTTGGTCTTGGTCTTGCTCGTGGTCTTAACTTGTTGCCCTGGTCTTAATCTTGGTTTTGGTATTGGTCTTGGTATTGGTCTTGGTAATGGTCTTGGTCTTAACTTGTTGCCCTGGTCTTGGTCTTGGTCTTGGGTCTTGGTCTTGGTCTTAACTTGTTGCCCTGGTCTTGGTCTTGGTCTCTGTCTTGGTATTGGTCTTGGTATTGGTCTTGGTCTTGGTCTTAACTTGTTGCCCTGGTCTTGGTCTTGGTCTCTGTCTTGGTATTGGTCTTGGTCTTGGTCTTAACTTGTTGCCCTGGTCTTGGTCTTGGTCTTGGTATTGGTCTTGGTCTTAACTCGTTGCCCTTGGTCTTGGTCTTGGTCTTGGTCTTAACTTGTTTCCCTGGTCTTGGTCTTGGTCTTGGTATTAACTTGTTTCCCTGGTCTTGGTCTTGGTCTTGTTTCCCTGGTCTTGGTCTTGGTCTTGTTTCCCTGGTCTTGGTCTTGGTATTGGTATTAACTTGTTTTCCTGGTCTTGGTCTTGGTCTTGGTCTTGGTCTTAACTTGTTGCCCTGGTCTTGGTCTGATATGATAAGCAAATGTCTTATCATAAAAATGGACAACTTGCATGTAGCTATTAAATTATTGTAGATAATAAAAATGGAAAAATATATTATAGAATAATCAAAACACTTCTGTTTGCTTGTAATTGAATTGTATTTATTAATAAATCACCTGATTGATTAATTATTCAAAATACATTATATAATAATGAACTCTTGTTTGCTTGTTATTGATCTTCAGTTAATAAATCAGGATCCATTGAAATGATTATATCCTCATTCTGAATTAGCTGAATATAATCTAATTCAGTGGGATATTTTATATTTCCTGCAATATGAATTAATTATATTTTAAAATTTGTACATAATGGTATAATATCATAGTCTGTAGTATCTTCAATATAATTTTTTTAGCTGTAACATACTTTGCTTCTTCCCTCCGTTCCAGTCTCCAGACTGTGCTAAAACGACACTTATGCGTTTCATAATATCAAGTTGTGTCCCTTTCGGAAAATTAACTCTTATGGCCTCTGCAAATGATTTTTAATAAACTTGAATATACATCAGAAATTGTTATTAAATTATACCTCAACATATTGCACTTGATATTAAATAATAAACTATTAACACATACATGTATTAATACATTATTAAACATTAAATATGTGTGTCTGTGTGTGAATGAATAAAGCTATAATATTTGATGATACATACTGACAACAACATCACATAATTTTAAAGCCGAGAAGTTTAACTTGTTTTTCCGTCCTCTGGCTGAATATTGCACCGCCAGAGTTCTTGAAAAAACTTTTTTCATCACAGCTGTTATTGTTCCATTTAATGTAGTCTGGCCAACCATAGCCAAATGAACTACCTATTATGAAGAAGTTAAATATATATATATATATATATATATATATATATAACTATTATTCTTACCAAATCAGAAGCAAAACCCTCCTCTGTTAAGTTTGTTTCCATTTTTATTATATCATCTGTACTTTCCAAGGAAACACAAATGTTCTAACATTAGGCAGGACAATATGATTTTTGCTTCTCTGTGAGAAGCTGTAAATACCAAAATTTCTGCCTGATTCTTCTTGATTTCTTGCAGATCAAGCACTAAATTTTCGAACCTCATAGATATGTTGCCTAGATGCTCCAATGACTTCTCAGCCTTATCTTTGTTGGAAACTTTCTCGATTTCTTCTCAACAATAAAAAAAAAGTTACAAATTATACAGTAAATGATGAGCATCACGCTAAAGAATTGAAAATACATTTTGTCCGAAAAATCAAATTATAATTTCAATATCAATCTGTACTTATTACCTGTGGCATGGGTTGGAGGTATATCTGATTCTATGGCTGAATTAATTTCAGCCTTCTTTACATACTTCTTCGCTTTTTTTAATGAAGAAGTAGTCCTCAGACATTTTGCCTCTAGCTCATCAGAGCATGATAAACTGTTGCCCAGCACACAGTTATTTATCATCTTCTCTAATTTGCTATACTTAACATTCTTCGGCCAAAGATACTTTGTTTTATTATCATCTATAGCCCAAGACGATGGCACATGGTAACAAGTATTATCTACTGAAAATACTACAATTTTCAAACTTACCTCCATTTCAAATATATATATGAATAAACAAAAAAGAATATAAAAAACACAATATATAAAATTTATATAATTATAATTATAATATTTATATATATTTATATAAAAAATCAACAAAAGTTAAAACTATATGTTAACACTACTTATTTCCACAACATTTCCTACAAATTTGAACACATGTGTTTTGAATTGCAGCATAGTGCACTAGCCGGCACGCATCTACAGAACAACGGCATAACTTTGAAGGTGCGTTCGATTTGCGTTGGCGTTTCATAATCGATAAAATAAGAATATTGACTTTTGACTATATTTTTGAAATTATATTATTTTCTCTGCTTATTAATTTATTATAATTTAACATATTATGTTTATTAATCTATGATATATAATATATAATGAATTCACGTAATATATAACGTACTCACAAGCTATGTCAAATATTACATTTGCGCGCAATTGTACAGCCACATGTGGTCAAATTGTGTTTTGTGTGTGTTTACATAGAATAACCTCAAATTTTGGTTATTATATATTATTATATTTCGTATTATATATATATATATATAAAATTTATATAAATTTGTTTTTTTAATTTGTATATTCATATTTAAATCGAGGTAAGTTTGAAAATAAAAATATTTCAATGCTGTATTTATATATGTTTCAATGTATATTAATTTCTACGTTATAGTTTGTAGGAAAAAATATGCCAAGGAGGCTGAAACAAATTCAGCCTTAGAATCAAATCCAGGTTCATCACCAATGCTACAGGTAATAAGTATAGATTGATATTGAAATTATAATTTGAATGTTTGAATTCTATAAAAATATGCTTTTTTACGCGTAGATGTTTTGTCCTTTTATATGTTTCTTTATTAATTTAGACAAAACCAAATTTATAGCTTCGCAAGAATTTATAGATAAATTATCTATTGCATTTGGGAAATTATGCTATGAAATTAAAAAGATTAAGGAAGAGCAACAGGAATGTTGCTCTATGTGAGAGCACAAAACCAAGATTATTCAGCAACTTCTAGTAATCGCATTACCATTTCTTTTTGAACTGCCCATGGCAAGCCTTACAGATGTACAAAACATGGAGATGAAATTAAATAATGATGATGTGCTGTGGAATTGGTAACAAGTTTGAATTTTGTAAATAGCATATGTATATACTAAAAGTGAGCATATATATAATTTGTACTAGATCGGCCAATTATCTTTACTTGGTGGGCATAATATGAGAGGAGCAGTCGTTACTATTTTGAAAAAGATATTTAGCAGGGCTGTAGCTGTGCAATATCTTCAAAAGGCCGAAAAAACAAGCTGGATTTTTCGGCACTGAAATTATGCAGTGTTGTTATTCGTATGTCTGCTAAAATATTTCTCAATAACTTCCATCAGAAATTTATTTCTGAAATTCATTCGCAGAGGCTGTCAGAATTAAGTGCCCTGAAATAGTGTAAAGTGCAAGTGTTATATAATAATTTTTCAGGCTTTTCTTTGTTTGATACTTTCTCAATTTTTTTAACAATAAATAAAGTTACAAATTATTTATAATTAAAGTGAGCATTGCACTTGAAGTGCAAAGTGTTAAATAATAATTTTTCAGGCTTTTTTTTTATACTTTCTCCATTTCTTCAACAATAAATAAAGTTACAAATTATAATTTGTACCATGACATATATTTCATTCATAAAAAATGTGTTTTGTATGATAAAGTTTTAATTATTAAAATTAAATTGGAGATTATGCTACCTAAGAACATTAAAAAATTAAAATATTCAGCTGACACTTTAAAAGCTTGGAATATAAAAAGTCTTAATGATTGCTTTATAAAGATAAGATTCAACTGATGAGATATTGGTATCTGAAAATTCTCTACGGAATATATATACTATACAAAGTATAGAATACAATATATGTCTCATTTTAAATAATTTACATTACTTTGCAATTCTTTATTTATTATATATTGTCTAGATTTTAACCTCAATTTGCATTCTAAAACAATAGTTTGTATTGTAACCTAATACCGACACGTCGTTGAAATGGCGCCGAATCTATGAACAAGCCGTGTTTGTTTGTAAACTATCGTGTTATATTTGCAGAAATAATCGTTATCGTTATCGTGCGGCCATAAAAAACTTTTTGGTTAATAGAAAGAGTGCAAGAAATCGTAAATATAAACCTTTTGATCATGGCTGCGGCTAACAAGAATAGTGATTTGTACAACAACAAGCCTACCTATCAATTTCTCATAACATTTTGTAATAATAATAATAGTATTTTCATATCAACGTAAATGTGAAAGCACATCTACTTTCCAAAATTCATTTAGAGTGATACTTTATTTGTTCCAATAGAAGATTTTTCCATAAAAATACATAGCGATAGAATTAATTGTTTTGTAATATATTAAAAGCAAATATAATATTTTTGTTTAAATGTTACACCGTCATAAAATAACATGCAACTAAATTATTATTTTATCATTATTTTAACTTATTCTGTAAAAAAATAATTTTGTTACATTTTGTATTATATGTAATTTTATGTTAAGCGCATTATTAATTTTACTATACATTGTAATTTTGTATATATGTTATTCGTTATCCATATTGTAAAATAAATTTATAGTCTTAAAAGTCCTCATGGAAGAAATCTGTGGGCTATGTATTAAAAAAAAAAAAAGAGTGCGCGTAAGGATCACACGCGATTGAAGTAAAACTTTTAATATTGTATGAGTAGGCAATTAAGATAAAAATAAAAAAACATATTTGAATTTTAAAAATCATTTATTAATAATCACATAACATCAATAACACAGTTTAAAACAACAGCGATAGATAATTGCTATCATATTCATATATGATATAATAGGTTTGTGATACTGAAATGAGAGAGAGACTAAATTTTGCTTTGTAAACTATGTACATTTCTTGAGAAACTGCATCAATAGTCGTGCCATATCTTGTGGTTGATTCAAATGGAGAATTATTCATTGTTAAATTAAATTTATTATTTAAAAAATCAATTAATGGTTGAGATTCTTCTGAACGAAAATTGACATTGAAATCTCCAGCAATAATTAATGGTATCTCGTTGTGATTAGTATTTAAAAGTTTTGCACCCTCATTAGAAAATGAAGTAACTGCTGATGAAGAAATTTAATAATATTTGATACGTTTTTATTGGAGAGAATGTAAAGGACGACTATAATTAATGTTTGATTCTGAGTGTTCACACAGCGGACAACTGCAATATCACCTACTTGTGTAATTTCATTAGGAATATCCAGTAATATTGTTGGCGCAAGAAACTGCATAGGAGTGGGCATTATGAAGAGTATCTGAACATGAATGATAGACGCTACACCACCTGCTCTTTGAGTTTGATCGTTTGTATTGAGTAACGCAGTAATAGTTCGGAATATCAATTCGTTCTTCATTATTAATCCAAGTTTCCGAAAATAATAAAACGTACAACGTTGTAGCCTTTATCTTGCAGTCAGGCAAATGAGCTCGTAAACTTTGGCATTAAACGAAAACAATGAAATGTCGTTCAAACTTATTATCTCGCTCAATTTTTCTTCTTGTGTTATTAATCTACAAGTTGAAAGTCTTTGGAATTCAGTTTGTAAGTCCTTTAATCATGCTGGCCGTTTTCTTCCATGATAAAATTTTTTGTCGTTGTTTTTAGAAATGATGAACAATCCATTAATGCTGGTAACTCGTGATAATGCAACATATAGAAGCTGCTGATTATGTGTTTTAATGTATTCATATACAATTTCATCAAAGTACCACCTTGTGATTTGTGTATTGTGAGTGCACAAGCAGACACTAAAGGAAAATGATTTCTTTTGGCAAATATGGTTTTATTTCTATTCATTGGAATAGATGAAGATCTCCTGAGAATCGGCACAGCTGTCCTACTGATATTAAGAGTTTTGAATATGATGTGCAGCTT